TGCTAAAGCAGATGCTGAAACAAAACTCATGCAAAAATTCATTTATAGTTATGTTATAATTATTTTTTAAAATCAAACTCTTTTTGTATGTTTGGTTTAAAAAAAACCTTTCTGCAAGGGAGAGCTAGGATAGATTATACCTATAAATATATACAAAAATTTAAAATATATTTCTTCCATGGAGTACTTTCACACGATCTCTGCCTTTCACACCAACTTTATCTTTGTTTGTTGTGGACAGGAAGCCACAATAAGACCAAAAGACAGAGCCTCAGCCTTGACTTCACATTAGTGTTAATAAGATATTTTTAATAGAAATGTCTAAAATTAATTTTTGTGAAAGGGTAAAACAACAGTAAAAATAATAGAGAATGATATAACCTTGATTAAATAAGTACTTGATTAACTTCTGCATTTTTGTACTTGATTTGTATATGTATTTAAATATTCAGTCTATTTCACTAATGGTATTAGTTAGTCTATCTCTTCAGACATGTCTCAAATTAATTTGATTTCTACTGGATTCTTTTATTTTGGTTTTGTTGCATCAGAGCAACTATCTAAATACAGAAATTAAAAGACAGAGTAACTCAGAGAGTAACTGACAGCTTCACTGAATTTAGGGTTTTTTTCCAAGCCAGATCTTTGGTGTTGATAGGTCACAGTTTTACATTTTTTATACTCTTCTAACTCTAGCAGAACATCAAATTTTGGGAGGCAGGAAGGAGGGGAAGTATCACAAATTCCAGCTTACAGCAACCTTCATCTAGGTATTAACTCTTGAAAATAGAGTGTGTAATTAAATGTGGGATACAATTTTAACAGTGCAGATGGCAATAATGTAATACAGAGGGGGAAGTCTGAATATTGCTAATACCATGAATAAAAATATACAATTGAAAGATTCAGAATAATTCAATGGAAGATCTAAAATATTTTGGTATACCCTGTTAACTGCTCTTAAAACAATAGCAATATAGTGAAAATTACTTCACCCTATGTAAATAATCCTTTACAGATTGTCATGTTATCATTATGTGTACACTATTGACATACAGCATTACTTAAGCCAGAAACTATTGTAAAAGAAGTAGGTTTGATCTAAAAGAGAGCATGTTTATTTCAATTGTACTTTTTAAGACTATCTTTCACTTTGCTAATTAATCACTACCTGTGAGAGGGGAAACCTTGATGCTATGATTTTATATAGTTAGTTTTTAGGCAAAATAGATAAGTGAATATTAAGCAAGTTGTATAAATATTACAAAGTTCTTCTCATATCAGGTAGCAAATCAGACATAATTTACTTAAAATTTTAGGCTTGTAACTAAATGTTTTAAATTCCTGAATGGTCCGTAATACCTTTATAGTTATACTACATCTAAAATTGGATTTAGAATATCTTTAATTAAAAGGGAAATACTCACATTCTGGTTCCTAGGTACCTCTTCTGCTGACTGTTTTCTAAAACACTTTTAAAGGAAAGAGGAACATAATGTGCATCTTACTAGAAAGATATAGAAAAAGCCCTGTCAGCTAGATAAACTTCCTGTTTTTGCTTGCTGTGATGATGCCTCCGACTGGTTTTGGAGGGGTGTTATTTTTTGTGAGGTGCGCAGGGTACATTTTTGCAGCTTACAAAATTGAGCCTCTGTTTAAACTAGTAGGGTAGGAGGTTTTTTCTAAATCAGTTTTTTCTGTCTCTAGTGTTCAGTACAAGAGTAATTGGACATTTTGACTTCTGTCTAGAAACTTTTGGTGGCTTCCTTTTGGAGATATAATTAAGGTGATATTGGCTTGCATATATCTGCCTCCAAAATTCTAATTTTATGTAAAACAATTTATTGGCTGTATCAAACATTCAGGTTCTCTGCCAGTGATGTCTCCTTTTTGCTACTCCAATGCCCAAAAGACTGAAATTGTCATTTAACAAGCTATCTGAAGATTCTTCCAACACATAGTTTGTGAAGCCAAGGGTAAAAGAGCATGTCTGTAGTAACATTGCACTCCAGCAATCCACAGCTGCTAGGGCACCCTCTTGGGACCATGGGCAGCCAGACACAACTTAGAGCAGCATCAGGGATGTTCTGAAGTGTTTTGTGGCCTTCACTAACTCCAGAACTAGGATACCATAAAAGCAGTACAAAGCCTCATTTGATTTAATGAGTATTTTTAGTGGCAAAGAAGATTGTTGTGAATAAGTTATAATACTTTTATACTGCTTCTTGACAAAGCCAAAGAATTAGAGAGCATTAAGAGCATATTTATACATCTTTTTTTGTCATATAGTAAAATATAGACATACATTCCATGGATAGGGGAATGTAGGGTGATATTCCCTAGAGAAGAATTATTGACTAGAGTATGGAAGAAAGTGATTTCTACCATGAAGTTTTCTTTTAATATGATCCTGAATTTACAAATTTTCATGCAAAAGAAATTGTTGAGTTTCAGAGAGAGCCTCTAATATAAAAAAAAATCCATGTACAGTACAAGCTATGTTATCCGGCACTTTAATATCCAGAAAACTCAGTTAACCAACATCTGTCATATATAGTAATACAATTCCTCCTTCAATTAATCTGAAAAATTCCAATAGCTATACAACTGCATTTTTCAAGATTTTTCAGTTGCTTGTGGAACTCAAATTTGTAAATTTGCAGCAATAAAGTTTGTCATGCGTCTGTGTATAATACCTTTATCGAATATTATCTGATCCATCATGCAGCTATGACAAGTGTACAGTAAAAATTCACGAACTGGCACATTTGATTAACCAGCAACCACCATTCTCAAGGAATGCTGAATAACAAGCTTGTACTGTAATTAGTCTTATGTGTTTCTGGCCAATGTAGATTCTTCCAGAGTTGCACTCATCCATAGTGTATTCATTCTTGCTTGTTGGGAGGTTGTGTAGAAACTCCTCCAAATTCAAGAGGTCAAGTTCTTTGTAACCTTGGAAGATGGTAGATAAAATACTCCATAGTTAGTTTATTAAAAGGTAGCTGTAGCGGTATAAGTGACCATATAATAAACCATCCTCTTATTCAACAAATCTGCTCCATGTGTGCCAAAGATTTAAGCAGATTCCTGGCAGTGACATTAACATTAATTAAGCCTGTCAGTTATTTATTATACAAGTTCCATCCTTTTCCAGAAGTTTGGAACTAGAGGAAAAAATCCCAGTACATATGGCAGTATATTCCTTTTTCCTGGAAATCCCAAAATCACCCATGGAGATGGGAAGGGATAAGAGACCTTGCACATAAATAGCTTTGTTTTTCAATTTCCACAGTAAATTATTCTCCCAAAAGCATATGTAGTTTTTACATTGATCCATTGAAAAACGCCGTCCTTAATTTGATTGATTTTGACCTTTGTGAGCAATACAAAAAATGCCCCAAGGGTTCATGATCCACGTGACGCAATTTATACCCCTGCAGAAATTCTGAACCAAAAAATTAAAATTTTGCATACTATATTTAACTATTCAACATATTTTATTTTTCAAAATAACGCTATGTAATCACACCAGCTTCAATTTAGGTAATTTATTTCAAAAGGCCTGTTAGCAAGTAGGGATATGAATAGTTACCCAGTTAACTGGTAAGCATCACCCATACTGCAGATGCTTACTGTTTACAGTAAATCATCAGGGGCTGAAGCGACCCCCCGCCCGGGTCCACCACAGGCAGAGGGCACTCCAGCCTGGTCAGAGCAGCCCCATTCTGCAGTGGGCCTAGCCTGGATGCACCACGGGCACAGGTACTCCAGCTGGGCTGTAGCAGTCCCACCCATGACAGGCCAAACCCAACACACTGGTGACAGAAGCCTTTGTGTGTGTATATATGTTTAATTTGTAAAATATAACGTTAGCCAGTTAACTAATTAAACAGGATTTTACACTCCTATTAGCAGCTATGCCATCCCCCAATACAGGCACACACAAAAAATCCCCCAGGCATAGAGTTAAAAAAAAACCCCTACAACAACCAAGTTCCTGATTCTCTACTCTTTCTCTCCCTCCCAAAGTCCAGACAGGGAACCAGACAGCTGACCCTCTATCCTCCAGAGCTTATGTGCAGCACTCCCCTTGCTAGCCCAGACACTTGCAGCCCCTACTCTTCCAGAACTTAGGGATCCAAAGGGAGAAATAGCTTAATGTGGATTCTAGGCTTATATGGCGCTCCCTGCCTGCTGCTTCCTTCCAAGTGGTGACAGTCAGCTTCCAGAAACACTAAGTTGCCCCTTAGTAGTGACCAGCAGCTCTGTAGGCTATCTGGGAGCAGGAGCAGGGGCAGGAGGGGGAAGATTCTGTGCAGCACATTAAGTCTGTGCACATTGTGCATACCAGAATCACCACAAGAGTATACTTAACTAGATTTTTTTAAATACTGGCTGATGTTCCATATCAGGTCATATATTGATACATAAAGACTCCTTACCCTCCTGCTCCAAAATAGGTTAATATTAATTCCTGTATTACTATTAATTCCATCTTAGTATTACTGATGGCATGAATTGTGAAAGAGTAGAAGCACAAACAACCTCAGGGGATCTATGTTAACACCTCAGTTAGTTTTGTTTGTATTTTCCTCTTCCCTCCCCCTCCTCCTCCCCAAATGCCACTGCTGCTAGATGTCTCATACAGGGAGCTTGCTTCCCTTTTGCATATAGGAATTTGTGCTGGTTATGTTGGGATGGGCTTGAGCTCCAAAAGAAGCTTTGTCAATTATGTGAAACATAAGGTGTCCCAGGCAATGTGTCTGACAGATGAGATGTTTCTGCTGGAAAACTGAAACCACATCCTATTGGAAAAGTTGGCAGGCTTTCCTGAAATTCTTTGTGACTTTAGGCTGTGTTCAAAAAGATGCCAAAGTGGACTACATTCAACAAATACTTAAGCTTCTTTTTATATATTACAAAGGTAATTTCATTTCTTCAAGCAGGTTGGATATTTATGATGATATAATCATGTCTCCTGGATTTTCTCTTTTCAGCCACACTGCGTGCTACTTGCTTCAAAGGAGAATTCAGCGCCTGTAAAGCTTGGTGGTTTTGGGGTAGCTATTCAGTTAGGGGAGTCTGGACTAGTAGCTGGAGGTAAGATTTTTTTTCCTTCAAAACCTTAAGCTACTTTGGGGGGAGGGGAGAGATTGTGCTATAGCATTAAAAATGTACATTCCCAAGAGGAGTGTGCCCTATGAAATAAAAATTCTGCAACATTTTTGTATGCAACTCATGCATTAAAGGTTTTATGAACTTTATAAACACATACTTGATCAGTCTAAATTGATAAATCATTAATAGTTATCTGTATTTTAGTATGTATAAATACAAAGAGAATTTCCCTTAAAAATTAGTGCTGTTAAATTGTTATGATCAAAGTACAGCTGAAAAATCCACAAATTCTTCCTTTTCGGTACGATCCTTTCATTACAGTCGGCATGCAAAACAAAACTGACATTGATTGAAATTAAATTAAAAATACTGAAAGTACACTTATTAAGTTTGCAGATGAGACCAAGCTGGGAGGGGTTGCGACTGCTCTGGAGGATAGGGCCATAATTCAAAATGATCTGGACAAATTGGAGAAATGATCTGAGGTGTAAACAGGATGAAGTTTAATAAAGACAAATGCAAAGTGCTCCACTTAAGAAGGAACAATCAGTTTCACACATACAGAATGGGAAGCGACTCTCTAGGAAGGAGTACGGCAGAAAAAGGATCTAGGGGTTATAGTGGACCACAAGTTAAATATGAGTCAGCAGTGTGATGCTGTTGCAAAAAAAGCAAACATGATTCTGGAATGCATTTAACAGGGGTGTTGTGAGCAAGACACGAGAAGCCATTCTTCTGCTCTACTCTGCACTGGTTAGGCCTAAGTTGGAGGATTGTGTCCAGTTCTGGGCACTGCGTTTCAAGAAAGATGTGGAGAAATTGGAGAGGGGCCAGAGAAGAGCAACAAGAATGGTTAAAGGTCTAGAGAATATGACCTATGAAGGAAGACTGAAAGAATTGGGTTTGTTTAGTTTAGAAAAGAAAAGATAGAGGGGGACATGATAGCAGTTTTCAGGTATCTAAAAGAGTGTCATAAGGAGGAGGGAGAAAACTTGTTCATGTTGGCCTCTGAGGATAGAACAAGAAGCAATGGGCTTAAACTGCAGCAAGGGAGGTTTAGGTTGGACATTAGGAAAAAGTTCTGAACTGTCAGGGGGGTCAAACACTGGAATAAATTGCCCTGGGAGGTTGTGGAATCTCCATCTGTGGAGATATTTAAGAGTAGGTTAGATAAATGTCTATCAGGGATGGTCTAGACAGTATTTGGTCCTGCCATGAGGGCAGAGGACTGGACTTGATGACCTCTTGAGGTCCCTTCCAGTCCCAGTATTCTGTGATTCTAAGGATTAACTATAGCAACTTTAATGATGCTCTCTTGTGTGTAGGTGTTGTAAAACCTATGCTTTCCTACAACATAATGTTGTCACATGAGTTATAACCTGTGAATTATTTATAAATTATAATGCTGTCGTATGGGTATTGTATAAAGAGTCTGTTTCTTGATAGATAAATATATATACATACATATATATAGTCACTGACAGATTGTTTACATTTTTCTGTGAATTTTATTTCCTCTAGCTACCTTCCATATTGTTCCAGACAATAGGGTTATGCGATATTCAGCCTGCACAGATGAAGACCCAGTCAGTTTTCTGATGACTTCATTGCCAGGGGTAGGGGATTGGTGCCAAGGATTTCATGTGGTTTCATGAGTTTTCTACAACAGGGAAACAGTTACCCTTCACCTACCTCTATGCCTTCTTAAAGTGTGTCCTCAACTTCCTGTCCTCTAATGCCTTGAATGGATCTGTTGCAATCTGTCTTCTGTACGCTCCACTGAAACCTCTCTAAGGACACCAACAATCTTCAGTCACTTCTGGATGCGTCTGAGATCCTTCTGAGCCATTGCTTATGACTAATATGATTATTTCCTTCTACTCCATTAGCTTTTTGCCTCTATATATTTTTAATATCTTTTGTGCTATCTTGGTTTTTCCCCTTTTCAGCAGCTTCTTCTGCATCTCCTTTTATTGCCCTTTCTCAGTGATATTTCTTGAGCTTCTAGTTTTAATTCTTTCCTTTGCCTCTTCTGTCATGAGATGACTTTATCCGCTCTTTTTGTTTCAGCTGCCATCACAGTGCTGCTGCTTTTACACGTCTGACTCCTTCAGATGTCTTCTCCTGGATGTCCTACCATTATACCAAGCTCCACCTGAAAAAAAAATTCTCCTAGCGGTTCTTTTGCCCTTCCCTTTTCTATCACCATAAGCTTCTGTGACATCATTTATTATTCCACCTCCTATGCTACTGTTGCTTTTAAATCCTGTTTGTGGCTGTTTTGAAGCTTCTCTAAAATCTCTCCTTTCTTTTTCATCCCTATTGTGAAAAATCTTCCTCTATCTCTTGGTCATCTTTTGTCACAGCTAGCCTTTTGCTGGCATCCTCTCAGCATCAGTTGCAAATTCAATCTGCTTCTCCCCTTCTTCACGTTCCAAAGCCCTATAAAACTTTACTCCACATATATGTAGAGAGAGTATTAAATCGTATTGTACAATTCTTCCTGAGTCTTGCTACTTAAGAGACTCCTAATCTTTCTCCTGTCATCTTCATGCCCTCTTCCATCCTGTTCCTTATTCTTGGAACAACGTTCCTCACATCTGACAAACATCTTTTTCCTCCTCCAGAAATCTTTCCTAATCATACTTTTTTTACAAAACTTTGGAGGAATGAATGCTGCAAGAAATAGTCTTTCAACCTTATGTCATCCACTGTGATATACAGGTCTAAAGTGTGTTAGAAGGAGACTTTAATCTCCTGGGAGCAGTTTATCTACCAGCATATTCAAAATTTATTGTGCTGTCAGTACCGAACAATAACCTCTATTTGTTCTAGTTGTATGTACCGTAAATAAGTTCTCTTTCGAAACTTGAAAAAAGTTTCATTCATCACTCTTCATCTGTCAGGAATCTTTTGTGAGAATTATGGGGACTGGAGTCTTAATGGAAAAACAGGGAATTAGCAGCAGCATATCAGTAGTTTCAACTGTTTTGCAGTCACAGATACTATTTTGAAATAGAAAGTTGCAGTTTGAGTTCAACACGCTAACTCTGCTTCATGTATACAGTTAAAAATTATTTTTCTCCTCAGATGTAGCATGCTATATATGTACTGACTTTTCAGCCAAAGTTTCTGAAGAATTGTTAGCTCATGTTCCTGGCCTGTAGTGGCCTTCAGTAGACCTTAATAATTTGCAGTAGAAGAATTGCTGCAGATGCTAGGTGCACACTAACATTCATAGGTCCGCAGGGGAACAGCAGAAACTAGGTACCATATACACTTCATGCTTGTCTACATAGGGAAATTTACTGACAGAACTATGTTGTTACAGTTATACTGCTATAATTATACCAATATAACCCCTCAGGTGTACATTCTTATTCTGGAATAAGAATGCCTTTTTCCAGTTTACTTTATTACTGTGAAAGTGGTATATGGTAAATTGTTATAACTGTAATGGTGTAAACTATGCTAAGTATCAATAAATACAGCCATCTAATTATACTGGTGTAGTTCTGCCAGTAAACTTTCCCATATAGACAAGCTGTGGTTCAAAAGCCCCTCTGTTTACATGTGGATCCATATTTTTGCAATAATTTCTCCAACATATCTGTACGTATATACATATAAGTTCTTCAGATTTATTTTTTCTTGATTTCCACATGAATGTGCATGTTTACTTTACCTTTTATACTTTAGTAAGGCCTTGAAGCTATACCAAAAATAACTTTTTACCACTGTACAGGATTATTTAAAAACGGTTCTGTAATTCTACTGGTCAAGACAGTAAACTTGGTTTCTAGGTATTTGGGATCAGACTATGGTTTCAGTCTCACAAAATCTTCTACTTCTTAATCTAGAGTTCCTTTTGCTTTATTTGGAGGCACCGTATCCAGCTAATTCATCCTTTCACACAAATGACAAAGGGTCATTATCATAAAAGTTTGCAAGGACATTGGACAAATGCGTACTGGAGATAATTAAAAAAAGTTTCAAGAATTATGCAATTTATTAGGTTTTCAAGTCACCAGAGTTGATTAAGATTCTGACCATTAAGGACCCACAACAAAATCTTTGACATAGAAGTCATAGATCATTTCGCACTGGGTCCAAATTAAATGTATGATTGAATGAAATGTGTTCCCTTCAGAAAAAAGTATATTGTGTTCTGAATTCATAGGAAACCTTTCACAGGAGTTACCAGTCTCCAGTCACCCTAATTCTCACAGACCTACAATTTTTTCTATTGGTTCTAGTGGTCAAATGTGAGACTTGAGCAAATGGAGTTATTCCTTTGAAGCAGCTACAGTGGCTAATTAAAAATGGAATTTTCTCTGCATAGTGAAGACATATCGATCATCATACTTTGTGACCAGCAGGCTACTTTTATAGAGTAAGATGTCCATCAATATGATAGGAACATATTTACATGGTTACAATATGAGAGAGGAGCCAACTGGAAAATAACAAGTTGATGATTACGTTGATGTAAACACATCCTTGTAGGCTCTGCCTTTTTCTTGGAAAGACGTTCAACATTAGGAGTGTCCATTCTTTGGACATGAATCTGAAATGAATTTCTGTGATGTATGTTTTCAGCGGAGCCACCTGTGGCAATGTGATATGAGGAAGCTACACAATGGATTATTGTGTAGCTTCCTCATATCATTGCTAATGTGCCTTAGAACTGACTAATCTGGAAGGGCCTCCCTTTAATTGAGAGAGCATAAGTCTCCCCATCAATTGAAACTTTGCATTCTTTGCTGAAACAAGCAAAATAAGATAATTTTGGGGCATGGGTATTTGTCAACAGGAGAATGGACAGACTACCTTTGTATTGACACATGATGCTAAAAACTGTTTAATGCAGACAAAGCCTAAATGAAGCAGTCTTCTGGCCCTTCATCATATGTCACTGAACAGTCTTCAGGTGGTAATAACCTTCAGTTACTGATCTGATTTGACTTCATTTTGTACTTCTAGGTCACACTCTAATTTGATCTATGTCACTCATCATAGTCTTCCAGAGCATCCAGTCCCCCTGTATTTTCTTAGTGGTAGGTTATATGATACTTCCAACTGTCATGAAACGCTTTGATTAAAAATTAGATCATCTGTGCTCTAGTATCATGGACATTACAGGGAATCCATAATTCTGAATTTGATCTCAGTATTGATATTTTAATGTGATCTAAGCCAGTATGTCTTGACTGTGAAGCCCCCAGGTCTTTCAGTGAGTATATGGGGTAAAAGTATAACAGAAAAGAAGCATTGAGTCCTTTAAGTGAGTTTTCACTTAATTTATATATTTTCTCCAAGATTGAACTAGTGGCATTACAAAAAGTAAAGTGGATGGAAGGTAAACATTGTTATTTCTTCACTGGCTATGTAGGTCTTGAAATTCAGTGTTCATCTGGATAATGATTCTGTTCACTCTCTTACTAGGACACAGTCTTCAGGTCCTATTGTGCTATCCCAGCCCAGTATTGATTTAACTCAAGACATAACTGCTAAATATTATAAACGAAGAGAGATTCTCCAGGATCACGTAATATCCTCAAAGATAAAAATGCAACTTCATCTTACTAGAGAATATGATGTGTGTTCTCTGCATAGGATAATATGCAAAAAGTTAATTTTCTTGGTGCTTCACCTGCCAGTATTCTAGAACTCTGACCTGAATAGCAGACTAATAGACTGCCATAAAGTTTCCTGAAGTCCAGACTTAGAATCTGAGATGTCATGAATACTGATGGTTTCCCATCCATATATAATTACATTCTTGGTGGGGCTAACTGCTCTAAATTAACTTTTTAGAAGTCTCAGAATATTTCATTTTCATGAAGGCTAGATTTTTTGCTCTACATCATAATGTTCAAATTATGTGGTGCTCTGTTCTTTACAGTCCTAACTTGTCCTTAGAAAATGTAAACACACAATTCCTTCATTTTTCCACAAAGTTGTTTCTTTCCGCCTAAATGAGAAGATAGCATGTTAACTCACTGTATGGTCAGAAGCCTACTTAAAACAGATTTTAAGAGGAAAATAAAATTTACTTTGACACTATTGTCTCTGATTGACATTGTTTTACTCGAAAGATACAAGCTGCCAAAAGCTGTGTTCTTCATCTAGGTGGATTTCAGAGTGCATTTTGAAGACCTATGTGGCTAAACAAATGTCTGTTCATGAGTTAATTAAGGATCACTCTACTTCCTCCTTATCAGTTTTGTGGGCAAGGGAGGCCAGTGCATCAGTTGTTGTAACTTCTCTGGATACCACATGGTCTTTGCTTTTATGTGTTTTCTGGACCCTACAATCTAGAAGTCCACAATACATCTTTCAAAATAAGGTTTCTTCAAGCAGTAGTCTTTACTGAAAAATAAAGATACTATTCAGTATCAAGTCATCTCCCCTTGTACCTGCTTTAAAAGTTTCTATTGTCTGGAATAATGTGGAAAGGAATTAGAGGTAGTAAAATTTGACCTTTCTTTTCTAGGTTGTATGATTCCTTTATTCCTTCCACATTATTCTAGACATCCCACTCTTTTTGGAATTCCTTAATTTAAAAACATATTTCATTTTACTCTTATTGTGAGAGGTCGGATGGTGATGTTTGTTAGTACCTCACATTTTTTTCCTAAAAATTATTTGTTCCAGTTGTTTCCTTATACATCGTTCAGATACTACTGGTGTTGAAAGAATCTCCTACTGATATCTTGGTCATCAGTCCCCTGCCTTAGGGATGACAAAATCTGATTGGGTCTCTATATATACTCTTCTTGTGGAAAGCATAACCCTATTGTCTGGAATAATATGGAAAGTCATAAAAACTAAATGATTAAAGGTAAGACAATTTATCTTTAGCACTTATGAATGGTTTTAGATTGACAATACTAGTGCCTGTAGCTCTCTGTTTATCCACAGAACATACCAAACAAAATTATCCATTGTGCAAGCTTTCTCATATCCCATTGCCAGTGTGCCTCAGAACTGAGTAATCTGAAAGGGTCCCCTCTTGATGGAGAGAGCTGAAGTCTCTCCATCCATTGAAACTCTGCATTCTTTGCTGAAACAGACATAATAAGATAATTTTGGGGTGTGGGTATTTGTCAACAGGAGAATGGACAGACTACCTTTGTATTCACACATGATGCGAAAAGCTGTGTAATGTAACAAAGCCTAAATGAAGCTGTCTACTGGCCCTTCATCATATGTCATTGAACAGTCTTCAGGTGGTAATGACCTTCAGTTACTGATCTGATTTGACTTAGATCAAATTAGAGCAGTGGTCACCAACCAGTAGATTAGGATCTACCAGTCAATCTTGGAGTCTCTGATAGGTGTTCCTGATTGGTTTGACCAAGAGACTTCAGCTGCCCCTCTCCCGACTGCTTTGCACCTCCTGTCCTTTGCTTTGGAGCTGTTCCCCTCAGGATTCCCCTGCTTGCTTGGTGGCGAAGGGGGGGTGCTGATGTAAGGGTGCCCCCTCCCTCTCTGTATCCTATCTCCACAGAGCAGAGAAGGGGGCACAACAGGGCTTGAGATGGAGGGAGTTTGCTGACTGTTTTTGGGAGTGGTGCAGGGCCAGGGCAGGGGTGTGCCTGATTTAGGCCCTCTGCACCACCACCCAGGAGTCACCTGAGGTAAGCAGCGCCCAGCTGGAGCCCACATCCTGAAACCCAACTCCAGTCGTGGACCCCCTCCCGTACCCCAAAGTCCTGCCCTATTCCCGAGTACCCCTGCATCCACATGCACTCCCAGACTCTGTCTAGATTGCAGGCTTCTTTCAGAAAAAGTTTTTCCAGAAGAGAGATTCTGAAAAATTTCTTCCAAAAGAGAGCGTCCACACAGCCAAAGCACATTGAAAAAGCGATCTGCTTTTCCGAAAGATAGCATCCACACTGAATGGACACTATCTCGCATTTAAGCTGTAATTACTATGGACAGAGTAGCCACCAGGGCATCTGTGCTTTTTGCTCTTAACTCTTCTTTTGAAAAAGTTCTTTCAGAAAAAGGCTTCTTCCTCATAGAAAGAGGTTTACCAATGTTGAAAAAAACCCTCTGTTCTTTTGATCTCTTTTTTCCTGAAAGAATGCGGTTGCACTGTGGACACAAGTGAAGTTTTTCTGAAAAACAGCCATTTTTCCGAAAAACTCTGCAATTTAGACGTACCCCCAGACCCTGCACCTAGAACCCCTGCAGTACCCCAACTGCCTACCCCAAGCTCAGCTCAGAACCCCTCACACTCCAGATCCCTTAATCCAAAACCAGAGCCTGCACCCCAACCCTCTACCCCAGCCTAGTGAAACTGGGGTAGGGAGAGGAATGGAATGAGCAGGGGCAAGACCTTGAAGAACAGGCACAAAGGAGGCGGGGGGCAAGGGTATTTGGGTTTGAGGTAGATCTTGGATTGCTCTTAAATTCAAAAAGTGATCTTGTGCTTAAAAAGGTTGGAGACCACTGAATTAGTGTGTCCTAGAAGTACAAAATTGTTACCCATTATAGTTTTACAGATCATCCAGTCTACCTGTATTATCTTAGTTGTGGGTTATATGTTACTGCCAACTGTCATGGGACACTCTGATTAAAAATATCATCATGGATGTTACAGGGAAGCCATAATTCTGAATTTGATCTCGATATTGATATTCTAAAGTGATGGTTTTGCTAGTTTAATATCTTTTTTCAATAGCGATCCAAAATGCAGTTGCATCATTTTGCCTGAGTAAAAGGATCTCCATAGACTTGGTTGCATTAAATATCAAGTAAGTTATGTGTAGCACAAGTAATGCTTTGTTTCAGGGTCATTTGTATACTGCACTCAGAACTCGTTATGTCCTTTTAAAATTGTTTTTAAAAATTAAAAAACATACTATAATTATTTCCTGGATGAGAGGGTTAAAAAGTACCAAGGTTTTGTTACATTTATATCAGTTCATTGGGAAAAAATGGAGGGGGAAGTTCATTGTATAGCAGAAGGAAGAAAAGGATGTTATCTGTTGTTTATAATGGAACAAGAACTCTGAGAGGCTAGGAGACTGCTTCATTTAGACTTCATCTAATTACACAGCTTTTAGTGATATGGCTATAACCCTACAAGTTAGGCAGTGTAAACAGTAGTTGTCAGCATTTTTGCCAACAAATAACTTCCAATCTCTATGAGCTGCACTTGTTTTGTCAGCAGGAGGAGGCTCCTGCTGATAAAGTACTGTTTATGCCAGCTTTTGGTTGGAAGGAAGAAGCACCTCGGAAGTTGCTCAATTGCCAGTGTAGATAAAGCCTAGAGAGGAAACAAGAAGGTCACTCATATGAAGATTGTTTGATGGGGGGGGGGGGGGGGAAATCCTTCTAAATTGGAGTATATACAACCAGAATTTTTTATATAAAAATTAGGGATGTAAGCGACTAATTGAATAGTTGACTATTTGATAAGCAAAAGCTTATCGGATAGTCAACATACTAGTTGACTAGTCGCTTCACCTGCTCCCCTTGCTGCATCTATCAGAAAGAGGCACTGGGAGGGATGGGGGGAGGGGCGGAGGGAGTGCTGGGTGGGAGTTTACATACCAATTCCCCCCAGCTCTGTGGGAAGGGGCAGGGGAGCAGCAGCGGCCTTCCTATTTTGAAATGTACAAGAG